GAGTGACGAGGTGCAGGCAGAGCCGAAGGGACAAGGGAGCCCAGTGGAGTCCAAGAGCTAATGGACCCCAGTGAAGTTGAGGGAGCATGGGGCCAAGGAGGAGCTGAAGGGTTGGAAGGCCGAAGTGGAGTCCATAGCTCGGAGGCCTGAGATGGAGCCAGGGGATTTCCAGGGCAGAGATGGAGTCCGGAATGTCCGAGGCGAATCCCCATTGGAGAGTGGTCTTAGAGGAGGAGCCAAGTAACTGAAGGGAAACAGTGGAGATGAGGCTGAGGAACTGGCTGAGTTTGGAAGAGGAGGCAGGAGAGGGAGGCTGGGTGGGAACATGAATGTTGAAACAGACTTTCTGCTAGTCGGAACCGATGGAGACACAGGAGATTCAGAGCTGGGTGGAACCAGTGGAGACATAGCAAATTCAGTGCTGGGTAGAACCAGCAGAGACACAGGAGATACAGGGTTGGGCGGAACCAGCAGAAATGCAGGAAATTCAGGGCTGATCAGAAACACAGACTCAAACAGTGTGGTGCTGGGTGAAACAACAGACTTGGTGCAGAGAAACAAAATAGGCAGGAAACACTCACTCTCCCAATCAATCAGCTCTCCTTCTTCAGCTATTGTTGAGGGGGTTGAGCTCCAAATCATCAAAAACAAAAACCTGACTCTGCATATCACTAACGTTACAAAATAGACTGGGCTGATGTGTAAAATTATACCCAGGCTCGCCACATAACCATAAAACTATATAAAATATAACTAAACATTACACTCAGGATCGCTAACAACATAGTCATAACACAGTACCTTTAATAGTGCCTGTAACCATACAGCCTATGAATGAATGAAAATGCATATTTTAATTAAAGAGAACTTAGAGAGCGTGGGCTGCTTTTGGTGCTTGAATTTGTGCTTCAATAATGAGTTCTAAGTTTAAGAATACGTTAGAATATAAAATTTGAAAAATTTGTATTTTTTTCTCTATTTAACACTAACTTTCAATAGTGAAAGACTTCTTCCCTCAGATAGATTGCATGTTTTCTTGTCTAGCTGGATGTTGTGCTCATGATCAATAATCACATTGTTTGTATTCGCCCAAACTGATTTGCCGAAATCAAAACGCGGACGGTGAAGGGAAGTACCATTAGCGCGAGTACCGTTCGCTGTGAAGTGGGAGTGACCAGCCGCCAGAGGATTCCGCTTGGTCTTAAAGCCTTCCACAAAAGGCTATGTTTGCAAATTAAACAATGATTTAAGCAAAAAGAATGATTACTTATCAATTGAGAATTTGTTATTCGTATGGTCTGGTGGTTATACGGCGTATGCCTGCAAATATGGGACAAACTGCATTCCGTATAGCTTTCATACAGAACGCTTCTTTGATGCCTTACGTTAAATACTGGACGATTCCATATTATACAGAACGGTTGGCAACCCTACCTCTTGTTGCCGGGCCGGGGAGGGAGAAACATCCTCATCACGTGTAATGTTAGGTCATGTGTCCGGCTGTCCATCAAACCGAGTTTTTTTTTTACTAAAGAAATTAAGCAGGGAGCTCTGCTACTTATTGCTAGCCTAGCAATGTTTAGTCAGGATTCTCTATTGTTCAGAAAATGTGCGACAAACGTCTCCCAAGATGCTGGGGTCACACGTCACAGTCAGCGGCTGTTTGCGGATTGGTTGGCAGGCAGATATTTTTTATTTAACAAAAATCATTTAAAATTTAAATGACATTTTAAATTAACAAATATTGTAAGTAAAATACAATAGACCAAGTTTAGACTTTTTTTTTATTAAGACTATAAAAAAAACAATTCTACATCTATTTTTAGGTGTGCCAGCTGCCACTGTAGTATCATTTTCACAGTGAAACGAGATCAAACATGACTTGCAAAGAAAAGCAAATGGAGGATGATCAACATCACCAGCTGGTTCTCTTGGCATGAGTTTTGTTTTACAGAAAGAAAAACAAAGGAGAAAAAATGATATAGGTGAACATGTTTGAAAGATATTTGCGATCGGGGACGCTCTGACTCGATCGGGAGCAGTTAAATAATCGTAATGACATCACACAGTTGACAATTTATTTGGATGTTGCAAATCGGGCTCAAATTCGGGCTTAAAAGGTTAGTTCACCCAAAAATGGTTTTACTCACCCCAGAGCCATCCTAGGTGTATATGACTTTCTTCTTTCAGACGAATCCAGTCGGAGTTATATTAAAAATTGTCTTTGATCTTTCAAGCTGTTTAATGCCACTCAGCGGGTGTTGCAGTGCTTCAGTCCAAAAGAAGTTAAATAAAAAGCGCCCATCCATTAAATAAAATCGTCTCACACGGCTCCGGGGGGTGAACAAAGGCCTCCTGTAGCGAATCGATTAGTTTTTGTAAGAAAACTATCTATATTCAAAACGTAATATTCACTTTAATGTAGCTTGCGCCAGCAGTTGTACACAGAAGCAGCTCTGGGAGCATGACGTATGAGGTCAGCGTTGCGCATGCGCCGGTGCGTCTCGTGAAAACCAATGTTTGTTAACAGGATCAAAGGAAGCAAAGTTTCCTTACTTTAGCAAAGGAAAACCAGTCTCCTCTTGGCTTATATCGAAATCCTCTGACATTCTTCTTTACAAATCCTCGTTTTGTACTTTTAATTAGTGACCGTTGTTTTGTTTTGATCTCTCCCCTGCGCTTCCACGTGCGTCACTTCTGAGCAGTGCATGCGCAAACCCAACCTCATACATCATCCGCCCGGAGCTGCTTCCGTGTACAACAGTGAGTGCAAGCTAGATTCAAGTGATTATTACGTTTTGAATATGGATATTTTTCTTACAAAAATGCATCGATTCGCTACAGGAGGCCTTTGTTCACCCCCAGGAGCCGTGTGAGACACTTTTTTTAATGGATGGGCGATTTTTATTTCACTTCTTTTGGACTGAAGCACTGCAACACCCGCTGACTGCAATGATAGAGCTGGGAATATCCAGGACAATTTTTAATCTAACTCCGACTGGATTCGTCTGAAAGAAGAAAGTCATATACACCTAGGATAGCTCTGGGGTGAGTAAAACACAGCCTAATTTTCATTTTTGGGTGAACTAACCCTTTAACATCTTCCAGTGTGTGGCCAGCCTAACACAGGAAACAGTGCAAAAGAATCTCAGTCCAACTAAAAAGCCCATAATATGCATGAAATAAAGAAACATTTATTCATGTTAAATGTTGTTATAAAAACAGTCACCACATATATGTATGTATGTGTGTATACAGTGTATAAACACTATATAGATATAGTAATTATTATATGAATAGTAATTACTTGGACTTTTAAAAAAAAAGGTAAAAAATGCAAATGAAGATTATAGAACTGCAGCACAGAAGCTGAATTTGAAATTGGGTTTCTAACCTTGTTATACACGTTGCTCACTTAACATTAGTTGGTTATTAATTGGTTATTAATTGAGAGAAATTTTGTTTTCCAGCCTCAATACTTTCCCCAGCTGACCAATAGTAACATCTCACCAGCACCTGAACTGAAGAATAAACACAGACACAAACACGACCATCATCTTCCCAACATCTGACCTTGGGACTGGTGCAAATGTGTTTAGGGCACACAGGTTTTCAGTGGAACGAGCTAATGCATGTATTGCAAACAACAGAGGATTGCAGAAATGCTGTTATATAGAAGGACTGACAGTGTAATATTAGTAATATTACTGAAGCATAGCTATTTTAAAAGTTAATGTTGACAGATAGTCCTGGAATCTGATATTCTGCATATACAGTGGCCACAAAAATATTTTGACACCGCACAAAAGTTATCTATTATACATACATTTATAAATTTAATAGTGTAAAAAGTTATTAGTGAATTAGACTATTATAAATTTCTGGTAAAAAAATAATCTACTGTATGTCTGTTGAGGAAAGTGGTATCTTTTTAGTTGTTTAAAGGCCATTAAACAACGGCTCTGAAAATATCTACCATCTTTTGTTTGCAGATTCCACTTGATTTTTTATCTAATGCAGTGACATTCAGATGTTAAGTGTGATTTGAGTGTCTAAATGTATTTTTGCAGCCACTGTATGCAGGCAAAAGTTGGAAGGTAAAATTAAGCATACATTGGACAGAAAGAGTTACGATAAACTTGACTGTATGACTGAATAATTGTCCGTGTGCTTTGATTTCAAGATAGTATCAGTTCTGTGTGCCATTAAGAAAATAATATATCTGCACTGTTTTAGCGTTATGCATAAATAAAAGTTTTTTGTTCGTTTGTTTTTCGTGTCAGTTTCCTCTTGAGTTTCCTTCTAGAAAATGAAACTTTTCTCAGTCTACTTTTCTATGATGCAAAATTTTGGTAGCACAACCAGTTCAGAACCACTGACCAAGATAACGCAGAAACTTTAAGGACAATTCTCAGATGTTTAGCTTAGAGTTCTTATAGTAACCTACAATTCAAATGAAAGTTTTACAAATTTAAATAATGTAAGCATAAAAAGACAGAAGAAAACAAGGCTGTTTCAGCTCTTTCAGTGGGTCAGATATGCATACAGGTTTCCAGTCACTGATATTCCGGATGAGACAGTGATCCGTAGCCCTCCTGACACTTGGCTTGACTGATCGTCTCCAGCTCTTTTATCAGATTACCGGCTTGAGTGATGTATGGTCCACTGTGTACTGCCACTGCACTGACCTAAACTCATCAGAGACATTCCTACAGCTCCATTAGAACTATTACATCATACTTGCAAGTTCATGTTCTATTAGTTTCTTGTAGCTTTAGTTTGCTTGTTGGTTGGTTTTGGCAGACATACTGAATTTATGAAGAGTCCTCTACTCTGGACTTTTTATACATTGTATTATGTTACAGCTTGGGAGTCAATACAGGCTTTAACTCCATAAAACAGTTTTGAAAATGATCTAGGACCTTTATACAGTGCGTACCATTGTAAAGACTGTAAGCCTATCCCTCACAGCCTTGTTTTCATCCACATGAAATTCAATATGATGTCTATCCTGACTAAGGTCTTTTGAACCAGCTCACTACCAAGTTGCTTTGGATAAAAGTATCAGTAAAATGCATGCAATTATAATGCTTAGATGTAGATAGATAATGAATAGGAGCAGAGATCTGAACTTGCAGCTACACCCAGCCACTGCCTTCAGTGATCTGTTCTCATTCTCATACTACAAAGACTGACATCTCTCCAACCGAACGTCTTACTGCCCTCTAGACCCTATGCCCTGCCATATTTGACAAGACACTGTATCTCAGCAACACCTGCAGTTACACACACATCATCGACACAGCTGGAGTTCTACAACCCCAGCACCAACCAGAACTGCCAGGTACAGACTGGACTGCTGCAATGGTCTGTTGGCCAGCCTTCAGCACAACTGAATTGAATTGAATTGAATTTATTTATTGTTATAATGACAGTCTATAGCTGCTGAGAGGCTAAGTAGCAGGAAAGCATTTTTTAGAGTTTATACTATAAAACCAATACTAAAATGTTCAGAAAAATATTCCTGTTATTGCACAAGGCTCCGTTTTTGGAATTAGCATTTTATGTGTTTTATAATAATTTTACAACTTTTAATGCAATAATATAAATCCATTAAAGGGGGGGTACAATGCTGTTTCATGCATTCAGAGTTGTTTACACTGTTAAAGAGTTGGATTCTCATGCTAAGCATGGACAAAGTTTTAAAAAACAATTTGGACGTATGACGGAGTATTTCTGTGCAAAAAATCTTACTTCCGGGTTCGTACAATTTTCGGAGAGTTTTTTTCGATCGTGGCTCTTCATGACGTAGAAGAGAGTGGAACTCCTTATATGGGCATTTCTCCCAGAAGAGTGCGCCCGCGAACACAGACCAGAGCGAGAGCGAGATTGCGCCCATCAACGAGCTTCATCCGGCGGCAGCGCTGCACGGGACTCGGTCAGGAAGAATGTCTCCAAAAAAGTGTGTTTTTGGTTGTAAGGGAAAGATAACTTTGTTCAGCTTCCTAAAGAACCCAGCGTCATGTAAATGTAGTGGATGCAGTATGTTTTTCCGGGGCAGCAACGGAGTTTCACAAGTGTGTTTGTTGA